CGCCGGTATGTCCAAGATGGGCGCTGTGAGCCTCCGCGCCGTGTCCGAGTCGAAGAAGAAGTTGCAGCTGCTGCAGACCATGGAGCGCCGCATGCTCGAGATCCAACGTGCGCGCCAAGCGTTTGAGCGCAAGAAGTGCAACAAGAGCGTGAGCCCCAAGCGAAGCGAGCCGAGGAAGGAGCCCGAGCCGTCGCGGCGCGATGACGAGCTCTCCTTGGCCCAGTTTGGGGAAGCGGGTGGCGTCTTCTTGACGCAGCTCCCGACGCAGCACAAGCGGCACCACGTGCACAAGAGCCGACATGCAGTGTCAGCGTCGTCCGGCGAGGCAGCGAGTCTGTCGCCGCCCAAGCAAACACACGGCAACCACCACCATCACGGGAAGCGCGTCAAGCAGCTCCACCGCCATGTCCCGTACGAGCTGCTCGTCGACGACGCGACTGCTGGTTAAGTCGAACAAATATTGCAATGGGGTAAGGTGCTAATTACTATACGGGGCGAGGCTGGGAATCTACACGTGGCGCGTCTACCTACTGGAACGGCACCGAGGCCGTGACAGGGTTGTGCGGTGCGTACGTGCCGCGCGGGTTGTACAACGGGCCGCTGCGGCTTTTGTAGCTGTTGTGATATGGTTGCTTGCCATACTGGGAGGGTTGCGGATGGTGCGTGTGCTTCTTGTGTTGGCGCGGCGCGGGCGGCGAGAGCGGCGACGGCGGCGAGACCATCCAGCGGCTCCAAAGCTCCGCTTCTTCCGTCTTGCCCTGCGCCTTAAGCTCGTTGTATTCACGGCTCAGCTCCTCTTCCATTTGGACGCGCTCGATCTCAGCGAGGAGCTCGTCAATCTCGGCGTCGTCGCAAAAGTCTGCGCCATTGTCGTCGGCCCAGCCCCCGCCGTTAGCACTGTCCCACTCGCTTGTGTACTGCGGGTCGCGGTCATCGGCGGAGGCGGCGGCGGCGCGGGCGGCGCCGACGACCACGTCGGTACAAAGGAGGTTGCGTTCGGGTTGAGCTTCATGCTGCGGCTTGCCTCGAAGAAGGATTGACGCTCGTCGTGGCGGCCGAATATCCGGATACCAAGCGTCGCTTTTCCAAGAACAAGCCGAATGTATCCGGATAAACGAGTCCGTTCTATTCGACAAAGGCTGATTATTTCCCGCACGTTTTATGTTTACTTGTACTTTGTATGTAATAATCAAAGAAAGCCAGCGGAATAAGATGCGCGTGCCACGTCATTGGTCCGCGACACGCAAGCTACTCGCTGAAATCGCCTCCACATCGACTAGTAGAACGATGGTTTTGACTAACTAGACGAGCAGCTGCCGTCCAGATCGATCTTTGATACATTCCACGCATGTACTACATGTGTTGCATGCAGCCGCTTCGAGGTCTTCTGCACGGGGCCTCTGCAAAAGCGGGTTCTGAGCAGACGAGAACACGCGCTAGCTCTATCTATGTCGCCTGCACCCATCGATGCTGCTTTACGTAAATAGCACTGGAGGCATGACCTAGCTGCTCCTCCGACTTGGCCCGTACAGGCAGGCAGTCGGTGGCGTCGATGGCGGACGGCCAAGTACCGTCGTTGCCGCTGACCAAGATGGTGAGAACGTTCGGGGACCGGTACCAGATGGGTAGAAACGCAGCGTTGTGATTGGTTTGCCAGTATCTATCCGGCGGCGTCTGATTGGTGGAATGTAAGCTTCGACGCATTGGATTGGTGGAACCGGCGGGTGCGATATGGTTGAAGTTGGGATGGGAGCTATTTGCAGCTTCCAGCTCATTCTACAAATTGCCTCGCAAGAAGATACGAAGCATGGCCAAGAAGACGCAGCCGACGCCCGCGCCCCGTAGCC